TGGTCAATATATAAGTTCAAGACATAATGCAAACATTTACAGCTAAAATTAAAAAACTATATGAAAAGGTTATATACCGGGAAGGTCTTTCTTTCAATGAGGGGAGCCACGATAATAAACTGAAGAACTATTTATAATTTGTGAAGTTGATACGGAATATTTGTCGAGTAGGTATTGGTACCTTCCGGTAAACTTTATGAGAACAAAGACGAGACGTTCTTTGACTAAACCTTGTGTCATAAACTTGTAAGATTCTGTTCACACAAAAATTAACTTTCAGTAATCATGTTCACACCAGAAAATGATTTCAGCGTCATGTTCACACCAGAAACTGATTTCAGGGATTGTGTTATTGTGTACGGATAATACATCGGGGATAAACTTCGTAAAAAGGTAAGTTATATTGATCTGTTATAGCAAATTACTAGCCCATAGTTAGCGTATACGCCAATGAACATGAATTGTAATTAATTAATCTACAATATTACTGAATTAACTGTCATGGGGATTCAGTTTTTATGGGGAAAAATACTGCTTTAAAAAATACGTTCTTCTTTTCCGTAACATAATGTATAGATCTTTGTAAGGATGGTCACTAATTGTATCAGTTATAGATAAATATAACGGCATTTTCTATTCCCTGATAACATGAAATTTGTTGTCATGTATTTTATATTTAACATTACATTTAGTAATTGGGTTTTCCTGAAAGCAATTTCGGTGTGAACATAAATACATTTTAAAACGATTATCTTTTTCCAGACTAAATTATATCAGAAAAAATATATTGACAGCCTATACAGACACGAATACTTTCAAATTATGTTGTTACAACAGTATTGAAGATAAGACTGACCTGTTTGTATGCTTTATTTTCCGTTATGTCTGTCACTGCTGAAATTAATTTCTGGTGTGAACATGATATGTCTGACTACCGGTAAGATCATTCTTTCAATGAGGGTAAGCACCATAATACATTGAAGAACTACTTCAATAATATTGATTGACTAGTAAATTAATCTAGGTCCAAAAAGCTTGAATTTGCAGTTCCGACTATATTCAGATAGTACACTTTAAATCTTTTTATAACTTTTTCAAATCAACTTGGATTTTCATCAAACTATACAGCTACCTTGGTAACATATTGATCTTACTGAATCAAAGGTCATTATGTAGTTTGGTGTATTGCTGTCAAATTTAATCTAGGTCAAAAAAGCTAGGATTTGCAATTTTGGACAAAATTCAGCATTTCAGATAGTACACTTTAATTTTTTTTATAACTTTTTCAAATCAACTTGGATTTTCATCAAACTATGCAGCTATATTAGTAATATATTGGTCTTACTGAATCACAGGTCATTATGTAGTTTGGTGTGTTGCTTACAAATTTCTAGGTAAAAAAAGCTAGGATTTGCAGTTTGGGCAAAATAGAGATAGTACACTTTAATTTTTTGTTATAACTTTTTCAAATCAACTAGGATTTTCATCAAACTATACAGCTATCTTAGTAATATATTGATCTTAATGAATCATAGGTCATTATGTAGTTCGGTGTATTTCTGTCAAATTTAAGGATTAAATTAATCTTGGTAAAAAAAGCTTGAATTTGCATTTCTAACTATATTCAGATAGTACACTTTAAATCTTTTTATAACTTTTTCAAATCAACTTGGATTTTCATCAAACTATACAGCTACCTTGGTAATATATTGATCTTACTGAATCAAAGGTCATTATGTAGTTTGGTGTATTGCTGTCAAACTTAATCTAGGTAAAAAAAGCTAGGATTTGCAATTTTGGACAAAATTCAGCATTTCAGATAGTACACTTTAATTTTTTTTATAACTTTTTCAAATCAACTTGGATTTTCATCAAACTATGCAGCTATATTAGTAATATATTGGTCTTACTGAATCACAGGTCATTATGTAGTTTGGTATGTTGCTCACAAATTTCTAGGTAAAAAAAGATTGAATTTGCAGTTCGGACTATATTCAGATAGTACACTTTAATTTTTTTTATAACTTTTTCAAATCAACTAGGATTTTCATCAAACTATGCAGCTATCTTAGTAATATATTGATCTTACTAAATCATAGGTCATTATGTAGTTTGGTGTATTGCTGTCAAATTTAAGGATTAAATTAATCTAGGTCCTAAAAGCTTGAATTTGCAGTTGGGACTATATTCAGATAGTACACTTTAAATCTTTTTATAACTTTTTCAAATCAACTTGGATTTTCATCAAACTATACAGCTATCTTGGTAACATATTGATCTTACTGAATCAAAGGTCATTATGTAGTTTGGTGTATTGCTGTCAAACTTAAGAATAGATTTAATCTTGTTAAAAAAAGATTGAATTTGCAGTTCGGACTATATTCAGATAGTACACTTTAAATTTTTTTTATAACTTTTTCAAATCAACTAGGATTTTCATCAAACTATACAGCTATCTTAGTAATATATTGATCTTACTAAATCATAGGTCATTATGTAGTTTGGTGTATTGCTGTCAAATTTAAGGATTAAATTAATACATCCTGACATAAAATATTACTGAATTATTATGCGGCTATATAGATTTACATGATAAAGTGCCAATATGGGCTGTTTTGGTTGATACGGTCAAATAATTTTGCTATATGAGTCAGCCTGGGGTATCAAAACTACTGAAATTTTGTTACGTATCAATATATTGAACAAAAGGAGGACATGCTGGCACTCTTAATTTATGCGGACAAAAATTTGTAGTTGTTGTGTTCCAATATTGCTGTCATTTGTATTATACATTAAATCCTGACATAAAAATAGTTGCTGATTTACTATGCGGCTATATAGATTTACAAAATAAAGTGCAAATATGGTCAGTTTTGGTTGATGCAGTCAAATAATTTTGTTATAGGAGTCAGCCTGAGGTATCAAAACTACTGCAATTTTGTTGCTAGACAATATTTTGATTAAAAAGAGGACATGCTGGCAATCTAGATTTATACGGACAAAATTTTGTATTCACATTATGTTCCAATACTGCTGTCATTTGTATAAAACATTCATTCTTGACATAAAATTATTACTGAATTATTATGCGGCTATATAGATTTACATAATAATGTGCAAATATGGTCAGTTTAAGTTGATGCTGTCAAATATTTTTGCTATACGAGTCAATAATGGCGACCCCATGAGAGCCTCTACATTTATTCTCTCGTGTCAATCGTTGCTCTTATTTGACCCTGGTCAGCCAAATCAATTGTGCGGATGATAGATTTATGTCAAAAATAAGGATAATCTTGACTAACTTTTTCAAATCTATTTGGATTTTCATAAAACTGGACAGCTATCTCAATTATATACTGTTCTTACATATGACAGAGTCATTTGGCATTTTGGTGGATAACTGTGCAACGGTAGGTTTTAATTGACAAGTCAAAACAGCTTAAATTTTCAGTGCGCAATAAATTCAGATAGTCAACCTTAGACATTTCTGTAACTTTTTCAAATCGACTTGGATTTTCAAAAACCTTGACAGCTATTTCCAATATACCCTGTTCTTACATAGGACAGAGTCATTTGGCATTTGGGTTGATTACTGGTAAATGGTATGTTTTAATTGAGAAGTGAAAAGAGCTAGAATTTTCACTTCGCACTAAATTCAGATAGTCACCCTTAAAAATGTCTATAACTTTTTCAAATCAACTTTGATTTTCATAAACCTTAACACCTATCTCAATTATATACTGTTCTTACATATGACAGAGTCATTTGGCATTTGGGTGGATAACTGTGAAACAGTAGGTTTTAATTGACAAGCCAAAACAGCTAGAATTTTCAGTGCGCACTAAATTCACATAGTCACCCTTAAACATTTCTGTCACTTTTTCAAATCGACTTGGATTTTTATAAAACATGACAGCTGTCTCAATTATATACTGTTCTTACCAATTGCAAAGTCATTTGCCATTTTATTAACCTTCCTGTCAAATTGTAGGTTTATTTCATAGGTGAAAAAGGCTAAGATTTTCACTTCTGACTACATTCAGATAGTCACCTTTAAGAATTTCTACAACTTTCTCAAATCAACTGGGATTTTAAGGTTAACTATACAGCTATCTCAATTATATACTATTCTTACAAAATGCAAAGATGCAGTTTGCCATTTTCATTCATTCCTGTCAAATTGTATGTTTAATTGAGTAACTGTAGACTGACAAACTGTGTAAATCTATCAAACCTGAGCTACCACAAGTATAAAATGTTTATGCCGGTAAGGAATAATCAAGAAAAAGGTCAATTTTATTCATGAATACAACAAATATACCAATTTGACACTTAAACTCCTTCACACGACAGGTCAGTGCTATCGTGTCCTAAATATTTATGCGGAGCACATTGAATTGTTGTACCAGCAATTTAATTCCTGCCACAGAAGCCTAAACCAACTAACTGCTGATTCAGTAAAGTATGTTTAGGTGCAAATTAACCCTTTTTAACAGCCTTTGCAAGTCCCTAGAAAAACATTCGCATTCCTCAACACAGATTGCTATTTACACATGGAGCACTCCAAAATGTTGTACCAAGGAGTATAATTCCATATGAGGCATATGCTTTGGTATTCTCAGAGTGTTCTTTACATACACCTGTGCTGTCTCCTCTTATAAATGTCGGTTAAAAAATAGGCAGTGCCATTCTATGTTGCATAGTAAGGTGGATCACCTGCTAATGTTGTACCAGGAATAAGCATGTTACAGTTATTAGTTGGCTTTTTTATCGACCTATAACTTTTGAAAGCCTGAGCTGATGTTCCAGAACCAGACTGCACAATTTGCCCAATTGAATGCCCATTCCAAAACGTTAAACATTTTGGAAATCGAACGGTAAACAACGGAGCTATGATTTTTCAAAGTTTGCAATGTACACTTCCGTGTTCCATACTACGTCTAATATGTAAACAAATACCCATGTGTTCTTTATCGACCCATAACTTTTGAATGCCTGACCTGATCTTCCAAACCTAGACTGCACAATTTGCTAAGTCTAATGTCTAACAATCAATTTTGAGGTACAAAAAGTACTCAATTACAAAGCCGGTACAAGAATATCAATAAAAAGAAAGAAATATTGTCGCCTTTTATTGTTATCGACACAAATAAAAGTAACCGTAGACTTATACAGTGTCAAATTATCCATCCTAAGAATGAAATGTTTATACCGGCACAGAAGTATCATCAGAAAGAAAGAAATATTGTCGTCTTTTATTGTTATCGACACAAATAAAAGTAACCGTAGACTTATACAGTGTCAAATTATCCATCAAAAGAATAAAATGTTCATGCTGGCACACAAGTATCATCAAAAGGATAGATATTGGCACCATTTATAGATGCAGACAACAAATACAGCAACCTGAAACATTCATTTCTTCACTTTTGTGTCTGAGAATACATCTAAACTCATAAATATTATACAACATATGAAGTATTGTCACTTTTAGTTAGTATCGACATAAATATCAGTAACCGTACACTTATAAATCTCTCAATTGTTGTCAAATTATGCCTTCTTATAGTTGTCGACAAATGTTTTAGTAACCGTAGACTCCAAACCTGTGTAAAACTATCAATCCTCAGGTACCGAAAGGATAAAATGTTAATGCCGGTAAGTAATAACCAAGAAAATGGTCAATATTGGCACCCTATATTGCTGAATGCAACAAATATAGCACTTCAAAACATTTATTCTTTCACTTTTATGTCTGACAATCCATTTGAATGTATCAAATGTCCTCTATTACCAGGCCGGTACAAGAATATTATAACAAAGATGAAATAGTGTCGCTTTTAATTGTTTCGCAACATAAATATTAGTAACCGTACACTTATAAATCTCTCAATTTGTGTCAAACCATTCATTCTGAGATTCAAATAATGATGCCGGACCAGAAAAATCAGGAAGAAGGGAAGATATTGGCACCTTTTGTTGATACCGACAACAAATTTTGTTATTTAAACTTGTTTTCATTCCCATTTAATGTCAAACAACCCATCAGGATGTATTTAAAAGTGCTCAATTATAAGGCCAGTACCAGAATATCATTCAAAAGAAGAAATATTGGCTCTTTTTATTCTTGTCGACAAAAGTTTTAGTATAACCGTAGACTTTTGAAGCGCTTAATTTTTGAAAAAATTTTCATCGCGAGGTACATAAAGAATAAAATTATTAGGCTGGTAGACAATATTCAAGGAAAAGGGTAAATATTGGCCCAAGATATTGATGAATACAACAAATATAGCAGCTTGACACTTAAACTCCTTCATGAAAGGCTATCATTTCTTAACATTTAGGTGGAGCACATTGGATCTTTGTACCACAGTTTCTGACACGTTTTCTTCGGCGACCTATAACTTTTGAATGCCCCGATACATTTTCAATATCAAGACACCAAAATGTGCGCAATTGAATGCCCATTATAAAACGTTAAACATTTTGGAAATCGAACGGTAAACAACGGAGCTATGATTTTTCAAAGTTTGCCATGTACACTTCCGTGTTCCATACTACGTCTAATATGTAAACAAATACCCATGTGTTCTTTATCGACCTATAACTTTTGAATGCCTGAACTGATCTTCCAAACCTAGACTGCACAATTTGCCCAATTGAATGTCCTTTCCAAAACGTTAAACATTTTGTAAATCAAACGGTTAAAAACGGAGCTATGATTTTTTCAAAGTTTGCCATATAGCCTCCCGTATTCCTTACTACGTCTGATATGTAAACAAATACCCAAGTCTTCTTTAACGGCTATACACATTTTATTTTCACTATCAAGTCAGCACAATTTTCGCAGTTAAATGTCCTTTCCAAAACACTAAACAGTTTATACATCGGACCGCAAACAACGGAGCTACGATTTTTCAAACTTTGCCTATATTCCTAATTGGATTATCTTCCCTGAATTCAAATTTTGTGTCAACTTGTTTGAGGAAATTATTACACAAAGCCTACTATATAAAGCACTCAGTACACATATGCTAATGGGGGGAACCCTTGTATCCAAGGCATGTCGCGCATGCGCACTCAGACTTTGAAAAAGGTCAATGTTGACACCCTATATTGATGAGTACAACACATATATAGCATTTGAAACTTAAAATCCTTCACTCTAATGTCTAACAATCAATTTTGAGGTACAAAAAGTACTCAATTACCAAGCCGGTACAAGAATATCAATAAAAAGAAAGAAATATTGTCGCCTTTTATTGTTATCGACACAAAAAAAGTAACCGTAGACTTATACAGTGTCAAATTATCCATCCTAATGATGAAATGTTTATACCGGCACAAAAGTATCATCAAAAAGAAAGAAATATTGTCGCCTTTTATTGTTATCGACACAAATATAAGTAACCGTAGACTTATACAGTGTCAAATTATCCATCAAAAGAATAAAATGTTCATGCTGGCACACAAGTATCATCAAAAAGGATAGATATTGGCACCATTTATAGATGCAGACAACAAATACAAATCCTCCTAAACTCATAAATATCATACAACATATAAAATATTGTCACTTTTAGTTTGTATTGACATAAATATCAGTAACCGTACACATATAAATCTCTTAATTGTTGTCAAATTATGCATTCTTATAGTTGTCGACAAATGTTTTATTAACCGTAGACTCCAAACCTGTGTAAAACTATCAATCCTCAGGTACCGAAAGGATAAAATGTTAATGCCGGTAAGTAATAACCAAGAAAATGGTCAATATTGGCACCCTATATTGCTGAATGCAACAAATATAGCACTTCAAAACATTTATTCTTTCACTTTTATGTCTGACAATCCATTTGAATGTATCAAATGGCCTCTATTACCTGGCCAGTACAAGAATAATAGAACAAAGATGAAATAGTGTCGCTTTTAATTGTTTCGCGACATAAATATTAGTAACCGTACACTTATAAATCTCTCAATTTGTGTCAAACCATTCATTCTGAGATTCAAATAATGATGCCGGACCAGAAAAATCAGGAAGAAGGGAAGATATTGGCACCTTTTGTTGATACCGACAACAAATTTTGTTATTTAAACTTGTTTTCATTCCCATTTAATGTCAAACAACCCATCAGGATGTATTTAAAAGTGCTCAATTATAAGGCCAGTACCAGAATATCATTCAAAAGAAGAAATATTGGCACTTTTTATTCTTGTCGACAAAAGTTTTAGTATAACCGTAGACTTACGAAGCGCTTAATTTTTGACAAAATTTTCATCGCGAGGTACATAAAGAATAAAATTATTAAGCCGGTAGAGAATATTCAAGGAAAAGGGTAAATATTGGCCCAAGATATTGATGAATACAACAAATATAGCAGCTTGACACTTAAACTCCTTCATGAAAGGCTATCATTTCTTAACATTTAGGGATCGTTGTACCACAGTTTCTGACACGTTTTCTTCGGCGACCTATAACTTTTGAATGCCCCGATACATTTTCAATATCAAGACACCAAAATGTGCGCAATTGAATTCCCTTTCCAAAACGCTAAACAGTTTAAAAATCGGACGGTCAACAACAGAGATACGATTTTTTCAAAGTTTGCCTATAAGCCTTATCAGATTATCTCCCCTGAATTTCAATATGCAAATTTTGGCATACCTTCTTCAGGAAATTGTTACAAAAAGACTACTATATATACAACTAAGTATGTATTACTATAGGGGGACCCTTGAATCCAAAACATATCGGCGCATGCGCACTTGAAAGGGTTAGGGTTAGAAAAAAAGATCCGGCTAACCCAAACCCTAACCCTAACCCTAATTTGGGTTAGGGTTAACCCTAACCCTCATATATTCATACGCCAGCCATATCACAACCCTTAATAGTCAGCCTACACCCCAGGTGCCCCCCTCTATATGATACCTAACCCTAACCCTAACCCTAACCCTAACCCTAACCCCTAACCCTAACCCTAACCCTAACCCCTAACCCTAACCCTAACCCTAACCCTAACCCTAACCCTAACCCTAACCCTAACCCTAACCCTAAACCCTAACCCTAACCCTAACCCTAACCCTAAACCCTAACCCTAACCCTAACCTAACCCTAACCCTAACCCTAACCCTAACCCTAACCCTAACCTAACCCTAACCCTAACCCTAACCCTAACCCTAACCCTAACCCTAACCCTAACCCTTACTGAATCAAAGGTCATTATGTAGTTTTGTGTATTGCTGTCAAATTTAATGAAGGTCAAAAAAGCTAGGATTTGCAATTTTGGACAAAATTCAGCATTTCAGATAGTACACTCACTTTAATTTTTTTTATAACTTTTTCAAATCAACTTGGATTTTCATCAAACTATGCAGCTATATTAGTAATATATTGATCTTACTCAATCACAGGTCATTATGTAGTTTGGTGTGTTGCTTACAAATTTCTAGGTAAAAAAAAGATTGAATTTGCAGTTCGGACTATATTCAGATACCTAACCCTAATTTTTTTTATAATTTTTTCAAATCAACTAGGATTTTCATCAAACTATACAGCTATCTTAGTAATATATTGATCTTACTAAATCAGAGGTCATTATGTAGTTTGGTGTATTGCTGTCAAATTTAAGGATTAAATTAATCTAGGTCCAAAAAGCTTGAATTTGCAGTTCCGACTATATTCAGATAGTACACCTTAAATCTTTTTATAACTTTTTCAAATCAACTTGGATTTTCATCAAACTATACAGCTATCTTGGTAACATATTGATCTTACTGAATCAAAGGTCATTATGTAGTTTGGTGTATTGCTGTCAAATTTAATGAAGGTCAAAAAAGCTAGGATTTGCAATTTTGGACAAAATTCAGCATTTCAGATAGTACACTCACTTTAATTTTTTTTATAACTTTTTCAAATCAACTTGGATTTTCATCAAACTATGCAGCTATATTAGTAATATATTGATCTTACTCAATCACAGGTCATTATGTAGTTTGGTGTGTTGCTTACA